GAATGCCGCCCCTTGGAAAGTGCCACCCCAAGCAGGGCCGGCTCCAGACACCAGCCTGGCAAGCAGGTGCTTGGGGCGGCCACTCCAGAGAGGGGCAGCACGTCCAGGTATTCGGTGGCAATTCAGTGGATGGTCCCTCACTCCCGTTCGGAGCGAAGGACCTCCCGCCGAATTGCCGCCGCAGATCGCAAAAACCCTGGAGTCGGCCCTGGCCCCAAGCACATGCTTGGAGTGCTGGTGCCTAGAGCCGGCCCTGTTCACGCATGTGAGTAGTCTTATCGAGAGCAAAGGGAGCTGGCCACTGCATTTAATGAGGCTATTTATGTGAGTAAGTCAAGCAGGATTTGACCCTTAATATTAAAGTGGACCCACTGATCTCAGTGGGAGCTACAAATGCACAGCGCCTCTGAAACTCAGGCCACTTTTACATAGGACATTAACTGTAGGGACCCAGGTTTGAAAATACTGGCCTTAATAGTTACTTATGAATTTCCTCTCTTTTGTGGGTTTGTCTCAAAACAAAATCTACAACAAATGACGTTACAGCTCAGTGAAATACCAGCACAGGCTGGAGCACCTAAAAGAAAGGCATCAAATGAAATATAACTTAGAAGATCTTTCAACATCAGAATTCACTTTGCCCAGACAGGACTTTTTAGGCAAAGTGTAAGGACTCAATCTAACACCCACTGAAATCAATGTCTCCAGTATATCAAGCCCTAAAGCTCCAAAATCAAAAAAAGGGCCTGATCCTGCAAATCCCCTCATATGAATAACGACTACTCAGGGGAGTACAGGCCCATTGGCCGCACTGAGGCTATTTGTGCCAGTAAATGTTTGCAGGATTAGGCCTATAGCATGCAGCAGAAAAATGTAGTATTTTCTGACTACCCTCCAATTCATTGTTTGCTGGGAAATATCAAAGCCAATGGAATAGTAGGTGTCCCAAAATGTCTTAATTCAGAGAATTAGTGTTAACTGAGTCTGATTAGCTCCATTTATCTCTAATTAATTACCTTTACCTAATTAGACACCCTGTTTCCAGTAGACATGGAGTCAAGTAGACTAGATTATTAGTGTAGTCATTGTGCCTTTACAAAATCCTGAAATTAATGAAACGTGCAAAAGAATCTGCAGCTTTAATTGCACAGGTGTTGCCTTATGGCAAAGCTTTATCATCTGATTACACCAAGGGATTATTAGTGACTTTTTATATAGAGGATGAGCCTGTGAAATGTACCTTAGCAACAGCTCATTAGTTTAGGGTTGTTACTGTATTATTTATTACATTCAGCCTTCCCTATTATCTAGATTGATTCATGGACCGATATATTTTCCTCCCCTCTGTGCAGAAAATAAATAAATAAATAAACCTTGGCTAATGCCAGTCCAGCTGCAGTATGAGAGGAATGCAGAGTATATTCTCTAGCTACCAATCTTCACTCTTTAAAATAAAGCTTTTAAATTGGTTGAAATAAAAGTCTTTCCACCAACCCCCAGCAAAATAACCAATTCAAGTAACTCTCAATATGGAATGTTTTTTGCGTGTGATCCAAACAGTTTGGGCCATTTTACATCTCTTCATATAAATAAAAACAATTTGTTAGATTGAAAAACAAAGCAAAACATTTTTGCACCAAAAATAACTTCTTCCTATGTAATTCACATGTGCATTTTATGAAATTCTATTGGAAATTTTTGCTTTGGGGGATTTTTCCCAGATGGCAGTGGTTTGTGTTTTTGTTTGTTTGCTTGCCACATCCAAAAAGTGTTTGGATAATAGAAGCATGACTCACAAAGTAAAAAGCTGACCTTTAAAATTAGAACAGTTTTCCACATTCCAAGGCTTTATAAGACTATAAGGTTTAGAAGGCCTGACCTTACATTACCCACATCTCCTCAGAAACCACCTTTTAGAATCACCAACTACCAGATTGATATAGTAATACCTAGGACTGAATCTGGCTACAATCCAGCACCAAGCAAAATGCTCATTTCTTGATAGACCAATAATTCCCTTAACTAGTCTATATGATAATAAATGTGTCTCTAAAACTGTTTTCTCGGGGGCTTTTTTTTTTTTTTTCCAAAAAAATAAATAAATAAACATTTTTCTACTATTAGATGTAAAACATTGCTGTTTGCTTATTATAGAATTTAAAACAGGGCAAAAATAACGGGTAACTAATTTGAGTAGTAATACTGAATATTTAATGACCCTCCTTTAAAGCATGAACACAAAACTTTTCATGTGTGTATTATAAAGATTATAAACCTTAATCTCAAAACCAGAGCTGTAACTGAAATAATGGATGGATAACCTAGTAGTGTATGGTTTATATATCTCCACACAGTATATATGTACATACCTATAAAACACATAATCATGCAACCTTTACTCGCATACATAATCCTTTGAAGTGAATTGGACTACTCTTAGAATTACCCATGTGAGCAAGTTTTAAGGGTCCTAGCACCATAAAATGTGTGATAACCACTTGTCATGGGTTATCACTCACCCCAGACTACACTCACTAAAAGCATGAGCTTTTGTGAGATTGTTATATATTTATTAAGCCAAACATTTTATATACAAATTTGCTGACTTGTCACTCCCTTACCAGACTAACAAGATCACATCAGGCCTGCCCTCTGCTCTCTCTTCTGGCTTCTCATTGAACATCACATCAAAGTCAAGAAGTTTGTCTTTAGCTTCAAGGCACGTAATTAATCCAGACTCAGGACATCTCAAAGCTCACCTGAAGTTCTGGGATGAGAACTATGGTGGACAATGCTGCTCCTCAGGCACAATGGAGTGAACCACATCTGTGCAGGAGTCAGAGCTTTCTTGGGGAATCAACCCACGCCTGGGAAATGCATTCCACTTCTACTAGCACCATTTCCCATTCAAAGTGCGAAGTGCGCCTTTC